ATAATCATGAGTTATAGTGTTTGCTAGCAGTGCCAATTTTATGAAAAAAAAAATTTAGCCCTTCTTCTATCTATATGACAACCTGTAGTTACTTTAAAAGGAAATTGACGTTCTTCAATTGAGAGAAAACTTTTCTTCTATTTTGTAGCTGAGTTACTTGAGCAATGCTTGAGATCTTTCAAAAGGGATTCCACTAAAGAGAATTGCTTTGCTTTTGAGGTTGGGGTTTTATGCGGAAAAATCTTATTATTTTGGGGAAATTTTTTATAAACTCCTAAAAGTTTTTTTTAACAGAAAAGTCTCATTATTTTGAGAAAATCAAATAATCTGTCATTTCCTGTTAAAATATAAAAAATGACTTTTTTATTAATTTGGGAAAAATGTTAAATAATCAGAAATTTTCTGTTAAAAAAAACTTTTAGGACTTTATTAAAAAATTTTCTAAAATAATGAGACTTTTCTTCATAAAATCTCTTAAGACCATCTCCAATGCATTGAACTCATATGAGTTCAATAGATTGACACATGTACGTTCCACTTACTATACAACTTTACTCATTAAACTCTACACTCCATTAAACTTTATACAATTTAATGGATTGTCAAATCATTTATTATTTTCTTTTTATTTATTGTTATTTTTTTAAAAATTAACTAGCATGAAAATAAAAATTAAAAACTACAATTAAAATTAACATTAATTACAAATTTAAAATAAAAAATAATTTTAATATATATATATATATATATATATATATATATATATATATATATATATATATATATATATATATGTGTGTGTGTGTGTGTGTATGTGTGTGTGAGGAGAGAGAGTATAGAGTTGAATGGGGATTGAACTCCCCATTCTATCGAATCCTAGTCATTTTTCCACAATAGGGATTTTGAGTTTAATGAGATTAAACTCCCCATTAAACACTCCCCTCCCCCTCCCCCACCATTAAACTCCCATTATAGATGGCCTAAGGTTGTAGGGAATTTAGTGATGTTGACCACCAAACATCATCAAATACGTGCAATGCACATGACTCTTTACTAGTAGTTATTATTATTATTATTGTTATTATTATTATTATTATTACTTTTTAATTGTTCGAGTATTAAAACGTAATTTTTTTCGATTCGTTATTTTACATATTTATCATGTGTATAGATATACATTATTGTATTACATATACATGCACCCATATAGCACGAAGAGAAAAAATCGAAAAAACTATGTTTAACACACAAACAATTAAAATGATATTAATAGTACCAATAATAATAATATTTAGCATGCGTATACACAAAAGGAAAGCTAGAAAAGCTACCTGTATATGTGTATGTGTAGTTTAATCAAAATAATTTTTACTTCATTTTGTCATAATTAATTGATTTAAAAAAAATTGTTTTTTTCTTTTAAAAAAAGACATTTAGTGACATAATACCTACGGAAAATCCTTCGGTAATGTGGGATGTCGGAAATCCGTAGGTGATAAAGTCAATGTTAATGTCAGTCAAAGTGGGCCCTGTCGATAATCCGTAGCTACTTATTTCCGTAGTTATTATGTCGGTAATTTACCGACGGATAATCCCGTCGATATTCCGTAGCTAATTTGTCGTATTCGCCAATATAATTTACCAATGAACCTTTATGCCACAACCCTTTTTCCATCGTAATTTCATCGGTATCGCTATACCTATGGATGGTGCCGTATGTATTATCAGATTTTCTAGTAGTGGAAGTTGCGAGGAAAAGGTGTCTGTTTGTTAAAGATCATGTTGTGCAGCTTCCGGTTCTTGCTTAAGTGCAACATGGGTTGCATCTAACCACTAATTATCAACCAAAAGCCCCTAAAAATCCTGATGTTGAGCTATAAGCCACTCCTCAATGGTAACAGGCGAGAAAGGATTTGTTTGGGACCTATTCCAAATCGAGTTTCCCTTATCTCCTCAAGTAATGCAGTATAGGGTGAGAGATCAAGGATGGGTAGATAGAACTTCAAGGAAGAGAGATATCTCTCCTTCTAACAACACATGTGGTGGAGGCCATGGGAATAAGCACATGCTTCATCATGAATTTGTTCCACACAGTCACATTGATTGTCCAATCTTCATCACGAATCTGCACCACCACCATTCTCTTCATCCATGGAAGAGACTATAGCAGTACCCTAAACCAACAATAATAACAACATGATGATGATAAGGTACAAAGAATTCGTCAAGAACCGAGCAATTTCCATTATAGAGATTGCAACAAATTTGTTTGGTGAGTTCATGCCCGCGGGAAAGGAGGGTGCCCTGCCCTTGAAGCTATCACCTGCTCAGCCTTCAATTTCCATAAAACTTCCATATGAAAGAGATTGGAGGTGAAGTCCTCAGGATGGATGTGATTCGGTGAAAGACATGTTTTTTTTATTTTTTATTATCCTTGTCCCTGTAACAAAACAACGAAGAGAAAAAAAAAAGACGAAAACGCAATCTATGACTCTACTCCCGTCGCTCCTTCGCCAACAGCCTCCTCTGCCTATCGCCTATCACTGACAACCTGGGCCTCCTCCACCCATCATCGGCCACCTGGAGCCCTAGATTGCGTTTTCATCTTTGTTTTTTATTTTGTTTTGTTCGTTGTTTCGTTCCAAGGGCAAGGATAATAAAAAAAATGTGTCTTTTTTTTGTTCAAGTTCAAGTTAATTGTGATGTTTTTCTTTTTGTAACAAACGATGTTAGAGTTTTTTTTTTTTTTATTGTAACAAATAATGTTGAAGTTTTTTTTACCTAAAACATTATATGTGTAATGTTGGAGTTTTGCACCTTAAAATATATTGTATATTTAATTTACGATGGCTAAAATTTGATTATCAAGGGTTTGTATAAAAAAAGGATTTTTAAAATAAAAAGGTTAAAAAAGCTATAATTTAAAAAGACTAAGTAAAAAAGGTAATAAAAACTTAAATATAACTGTTATTTAAAAATAATAATAAAGAAACAGTAAAAATGTGAAATAAAAGAGAAAATGTGAGAAAATTGGGTATTTAAAATAAATTAACATTAAAAAAATGAAAAATAAAGAAAATTAGAAAGAAATACTAATAGACAAAACTGCAAATTTGGTCCCTGTGGTATTCAAAAAACTTTGGATAGGGTCCAAAAAGTTTTCAACTTGCATGGAAGGTCCAAAATCAAGGTTTTTCTGCGTTTTTGGTAAAAAAAACTTAAAAAGACAGTTATGCCCTTTTGATTTCTTTTTCCCTTTTTCTATAAGTATTTTAATACTATTTTGACTTTAAAAAAAAAAAATTCCACCCCCACCCCCCACCCACCGTACTCTTTCTCTCTCTCTCTTTCTCTCTCTCTCTCTCTCTCTCTCTCTCTCTCTCTCCCCCCCTTTTCTCTCTCTCTCTCTCTCTGACTCTTTCTCTCTCATCTGCTTGATCTCCTCAAGACTCGAGTCTAATGAAGAATCCTCATAATACCCTTTTTCCTTATCATAATGCCCACCAAATTCCTTGTAAGAATCACTCAAGTTGTTACAATGCTGATCATACACACCAACAGTACTACGATACTCATAATGGCAGCTCCCATCGGAATTAGAACTGCAACAGGCTTGATCACCTCCAAAGAAGACAAGGGTAGAACTGTCTTTTACCTCCTACTGGTAAGTCTCCGTGGAAAGCAAACCGAGAAATCCATGATCTTGTGATTGGAGAACTGGATGTTGACGATTAGCAGCATTAATTCTAGGGCTAGATGGGATTGATAAGGTTTGATCATGGTAACTAGAAGTATTTGTACTGTACAAGTATGATAGAGACGATGATATTGATGATGATAATGGAGCATTAACATTGATATTACTATTTTGAAAAATCGATTGTGATGGGTAGCTGTAGTTTGTTGAAGAACTGAAACATTGAAGATGTTGAAGAGGTTTTCTAAGTTCGGGTAGGATGATTAAGCTGTTCATCATCTTCTTTTTCAGCTTTGTGTTCCAGTAGTTCTTGATATCATTGTCTGTTCTTCCTGGTAATTGTGCTGCCATTATTGACCACTTGCACATTAAGTTATTGAAACTTCTAGATTTCAACATATATATTCACATATGAGAGATCTTGACAAAAATCTCCATTTTTGCGTGCTAAATACCACAAAATCGCCCTTAATACAAAATCTCGAAAGAGAAAGTGTACCTGCTACCAATGCTAGCAAAGAGGACACATATAACTTTATCTTCATCATCAGAAACTTCGTCATGTTTAATGTTTGGTCTCATATAGTTCAACCATTGAAATGAGAGAGAAATAGTGAAAGAGAGAGAGAGGGATAGAGAGAGAGAGAGTACGGTGGGGTAGGGGTGGAAAATTCTTTTTTTCCTTTTTTTTAAGTGAAAATATCATTAAAATACTTATAGAAAAGGGAAAAAAGAAATAAAAAAGGCATAACCGTCTTTTTAAGTTTTTTTGGACCAATAACCCAAAAAAACCTTGATTTTGGACTTTCCATGCAAGTTGAAAACTTTTTGGATCTTATCCAAAGTTTTTTGAATACCAAGGAGACTAAATTTGCAGTTTTGTCAATACTAATATGATAAATACTTTTGAAACAACACTAATGGAAAATAGTTTTTCCAATAACTCTCTTTTGGACAAAAACTCGTGGGGTTGGGTAGGGTAGAATGTGTTTTTTATTTTTAAAATATTGAAATGGTAATAAGAGAAAGAGAAAAATATATTTAACAGAGTAGTATGGTATTTTTCATATGCATCAGGATCATCACTGTGACCAAAGTAAACCGTATGGACTAGCCATGTTACGAAATGAGCGGTAACACAAATACTGTGAATTAGGGCAAACAACATGGACCAAATGTGCGATTTATTCTAAATCCTAAAGAACGAGCGAGATTTTGATGCTAAAAAATACGCATTTTACTCCATAGAGGAGCTACGAGCGATAAATGAATTGAAACCGTCTTGAAGATCAGTTTGCTTTACATGAAGAAATCGGAGCGACCAAAGGCATTGAAACGCGAAGATGGGGTCGATTTTATCAGTAGCATGCCCGATGCTATTCTTGTTTTGATTCTATCACGTCTTTTTTTCACCAAAGAAACAATTCGAAGCAGCATCTTGTCCAGACGATGGAGGTATTTGTGGACTGCGGTTCCCTCTATCCACATACATTACGAAGGAAAATTGAAAAAAAAACGAATTCAAAGAGTTTCTATATTGGGTTTTTGTAAACAAATCTGTAGATTTGGATAGTTTTCGTTTATCCTGTTCAAATTACTACAGTATGTGGACGGTAGGACGGTGGATTCATGCCGCCGTTACAAGAAATGTCAAAAAACTTGAATTGACGCTTTCCCCTAACCAGAATTATGAAGATATTGAGATGCCCCATTGTCTTGTGACCAGCGGTTCGGTGGAGGTATTAGAGTTGGATTTGTCACGACGTGGTTTAAAGTTACCCAATATTATGGGGTTCCCGACCCTTAGGGTTCTTGAATTGGAAAGTGTTAACTTATTGGAAGACGACGATTTGGTAAAACGTTTTCTAGAAAGCTGCCCATTGCTTGAGGAATTGAGTTTGGATGACTGCATCATAAATAAACTTGGTGTTCTTTGTATTTCATGTCTGAAGCTCAAGAAGCTAACGATATTTAACGGGAATGAAGATGAGGGCATGTGTGGTAGCATTAAGGTTTCCTGCCCAAAACTGGTGCATTTGGATACAACAGGTCATATAGCTTATAATTTGTACTTTGAATGTTTAGACTCCTTGAAGGAAGCTGCGATTGACCCTGAATTGGAAGGAAACATCAAATCTGTGTTGTTTCCTGGAATTTCTCAAGTGGAATCTTTGTTGACCGACGTTTACTTCTTCAGTCAGGTACATGCTTATTCTCTTTATGCACAACTCTTCATTCTGATTAAAATAATTTGGAGTGTCATTCTTGTAGTGTATTAATGCTGCACGTGATCCTTCTCTACCTAATCTGAAGACTCTGGTGCTAACCACAACAATTGATGCCTTCAATTTTCATTGAATTCATCCGAATTCTCAAATATTATCCCAAACTGGAGTCTCTCAAGTTGGTCATCAAAAAGGTATTCTTTTTATGTATCACATTCATGAAGCATGTTAACTCACTTTCACACTTTCCTTGGTCAAAATTTGAGATTCATGAATCCTGAAATTGGCAGAGGCCTTTTCACCAAATTTTCATGCACCCTGGCCTAGACATAATCTCAAAAGGATTTGAACTGGGGACCTTTAGTTACCTATTATATGAAAAATCAATTCAGCCAATAAATATTTTTTTCAAGAATTCAAAACTTTTGTTTGATATGATATAGCAATTTTATGGACGGGAAGAGTGGGAATCGCATGAAGGTGGCAGAAAGAGAATCATGACTCCTGATCTGAAAAGTGCCGAGTTTTTTGAATTCAAGGGAGAAAAACCGAAAGTTTCAGACTGGGATGAAGTTAGATGTTTGGAAATGGTTTTTAGTTGGGGTAAGAAAGTTACTTTTTTTTTATTAGAGACCGATTTTTCTTATGACAAACTGATTTTACAAGCTTTATGGTAAACAGTAACCTATTCATGTTACATGGTAACTAGATTTTTTGGCTTGATTTGGATTTTTGCTTCATTTTTTAGTATTACCATAAATACTTGTTTTGGTCTATAGTTCAGTTCATATTCTCTGCTATAAAAAAATATGTACGTAACCGCAACACCATGAATATGTAAACCAAAAAACATGTATGTTACCACATCAACGTCAAATGTAACATCACTATGTAAAACCAACTGCCCCGATTGACAGTAATATTTGCAACACAACAAAAACAAATACATGTGTTATCCAGACATGTATATATGACATCATCAACATGTATGTATGTGTCTGACGAAAATGAACTCACATTATTTGCATGTGTGAAGAATCAATTGTAAGTTGTCAAGAGCAATGGCCATGGAGGAGACTCGGTCACATGAGAAATTCGAGAGTGTACATCCATAAAATCTAATTTCAATTGAAGACTGGCCTATTGAATTAGTAAATATATAAGTTTCAGTTGAATGGGTTTATATTTTTAGTGTAGTTTGAAGGTCTTAAAATGTAATTACACATCGATTTTGAATGATAGAAAAAAATAAATTAGGTGACCATATATTATGTACCAAAGGGCTTCTAGCCTAGTGGTATTATGTCACACCCCCAAACCGGAACGGCGGAAACATTCGGGGACGGAGGACGTCATGTACAGTATCAAAACAATTGTATAATAGTAATCAAAGCAACAACCATTGTATTAATAACATAGTATTTACATTGTATTCAAAACATTATATTGCTTAAGGTTAAAACTATAGCAAAAGATAAGACGTGATACTACTAAGCTTCATCTTCGTAACGCCTGCGAAGGTACCTGTCTACTAATTTTTTCTGAAAATACAAGTGGTTTGAAAGAGTGTCAACATTAAAGTTGGTGAGTTCATAAGTATTTTTGTTATAGAAAGTATATTCTTTGTTCTTTGAAAATGTTAATGTTTTCTTCCAGAAAATCCAATATTTTCTTTAGAAACCGAGTTGTAGTCTTAAACGTTCCAAGACCGAAAGGTATAAGTATAAATGTCATACTTAATTTGATGACACCTAGTTTTATTCATTAATAAAACTAGCTGAAAATATGTTTGCTCTGTAAATTAGAAGCGATGTTAATAACCTTTTAGACTGTTCAAAAAGTATATTACTACGTAAATGAGTCGTTGTTTTCTCCATGTGAGTTCTTATAACCGTACTGTAACCTATGATGGCCTGATCGCGACGTTCTTCAGGCGTCGGAATGATAATGACATTTGTCACCCCAGGCCTGCCGGCCTAACTATAGCTAACAGTTAAGGTGCGGGGTTGTCAGTCCTGTATAGATCTATACACAAATATACCGCTCTCCCTACAAGAGACTCTCGTTATAAGTCATGACTTGGTAGGTACTTAGATAAGTACGTGAAGGCGTCTCACAAATTGCTTCAACGAGTTTACGAGTAATAAAGCGAAAAAACCTTTCAGTAAATAACATGTAGATTTGTAAAAATAGTCCGTTTGTTCCATAAACTATACCTATTATAGTTTATAAGTTTGTTTCCTTGTTGTAACCTGATATTAGTAAAATAGTTTCCTTTATTCCATAGACTATACTCATTATAGTTTAAAAGTTTGTAAAATAGTTCATTTGTTCCTTTGATGTAAAAACCGTTGCGACTTAAGATATTTTGTAGTTTAACAGTAACGATGTTTGGCGTATTTAGTAATTTCACATTTAAATGCATGTTAACGGTAAGAAAATATAATAAGCAATTTATATTTTTAAACACAAGATTGTTTGTGTTTTACTTGTATTCCCCCCTCCCCCTAAAACAGTTTAAAAATCGGGAAAACGTAGGGGTATGAACTCACCTCGAATGTGGGCGCTCGGTTGAGTCGTAAAGTGCTAACGATGATCGTTGGATTAGAATACGTGAAGGTAGCCATATCCTAATAATATTTATAAACGATATCGTATTTAAATTAATAAGTTATTAATTTAAATAATAAATTAAGTGATGTTTAAATAATAATTAAAGTGTTAGACAACACTTTAATTATGTAAGGAATACTTACAAAAGCCTTGGGAATTAATCGAGATAGTTCTAGGCGTTTTCGGTGTGAAAGTGGGTCCAAAAGGAGAGTTTTCGGTTCTGACCGAAATCAGTCTTCGGTCCGGAAGGGTTCTCGGTCAAGAGGGATTTCGGTCTAGTGGTTCTCGGTCAGGAGGGATTTCGGTTAGCTTGAAGATTTAAAGATTGTTCTTGGTGTTCTTGGTGAAAATTATGAAAATTTGAAGGATTTTGCTTGAAGTTTTGAAGATTCTTGGATGATACTTGAGAGAAAAATGAGTGTGTTTTCTGTTGGAAAAGTGAGAAATGACTTATGTTTTCAAGTTAAATCATATATATCGAGAGGGTTCTCGGTCGGAAGGGAGTTTTCGGCCGAAAAGGGTTTTCGGTCGGAATCCGATTTCGGCCAAGGGGGGTGTTCTCGGTGGGGTTTTCGGTCCGAAGAGCAGGACCTTTCACATGTTCTCGGTTCCTAATTTGGTTCCAAAATTTGTGTTTTTTAGTCTAAGTGTTTATATCCCAAACATTAAAATACTCATATAAAAACATCATTTATATATTTTAAATCATATTTAACCCTTATAATCTTAACAAAAATTAACGAAACTCGGATTTTATTTAGAGGGTTTGACTTTTATTGGCTTTTGTTGACTTTTATTGACTTGAAAAATAACGGGTTGTTACAATATCCCCCCGTTAGAGGGAATTTCGTCCCGAAATTCGAATTCTGAGTGGTTATTCTTTGAACTAGGGAAAGAGGTGGGTACTTCTGTTCTTATTGGTCTTCTCGTCTCTAAGTGAATTCAGGTCCTCGCTTGGTGTTCCAGCGGACCTTTATTATTAGTATGTGACTTTGTTTCGTTTAATCCGACTTTTTGTTTAGAACTGGTAAATTGTACTTAAGACGGGGAAGGGTGTGGGTTCAGTTTACTTGTCTACATTTGCTCGAGTGGTAGCATGTCTACTTGTAGTCTTGGGCAGCTTTGTCCTGAAGTTCATAGTAGACTCATACTTGGTTCATCTATCATCACCTCGTGTCTACAAGTCGTATATAATTAAGATTTGAAAGGACGGTCGGATGGGCGGCTCTGCCCCAAGTCCACAACCAGGCAAGGAACAAGAGGTAGGGCGGAATTACACATCCTAAGTCCGTAAAATCTTAATTATATACCACCCCCGCGTATACACTTAGTAGTGATAGGCTCGCTGTATGGGTCCTTAATCTCTATTCTTGAACTTGACTTGCTGTACGAGTGGTATTCCTGAGAGGTCTACTAAGGATACTTCGGGAAGGTTACGAACTTTCGGAACACTCTCAGTGTTTTTCACTTTAAGTTTCTTGTCTACGGAGTGAGCTAGGAAGGCGTGGTACCCATCGCATGGGTACTTCTGAGTCTTGAAGCGAGAGATGATACAAGGGTTTATGTAGGGTTTATCGTTATAGGTTGAAAAGATTTCGTTAGACGGTCGGTTAAGGCGAAGAGTCTTTCCGTAGCATATAGAGTTGGTATGGTGAGGACCAAGCCAATCCATTTCTAATGGCCACGTCGGAACTTCTTATCGTAACGGGTGTTAAGTTGATTAGGATGAAGTGTTTGTTTAAAGCGATGGCGTATTCTATGTATATGTCTTTAGTGCCTTCTGTTTTATTCTTGTTTTTACTGTTGTGAATGTTTGCACCACATTTAGCGAGTATAGGTAGTAAGAGTGCTCCTATAATTAGTAAGGAATTCTCGTAATATGCTCCCTACTCAATCCCTTTATAATCGCTCGGTGTATACAGATCATATATAATTAAGATTGAGAAGACCGTCGAATGAGTAACTCTGCCCTAAATCAACAATCAAACAAGAAGCAGGAAATAAGGCGGAATCACTCACTCTAATCCTGCAGAATCCTAACTATATATGACCCTAATGTTTACACTTAGCCATCATAGCTCACCTGCAAGGATCCTTAGTTTTTATGTGAATGATGTGTTTTATTCGGACGAGGAAGCAATTTATGATTATGTTTTTAATTGGCAAAAATTTCAGAGAAGATTTGATGCTTAAATATTGATATTTAGTGACATACAAAAAATCCCAGAAGAGTCCCTCATTGTTTCTTCATGTCCTGTTGTTAAACTCCTCCCACTCCTCCATCATTCCTCTCTGTTGGGCAATCTCTCTTGAAATGCCCGGTCTCACCACATGCATGACATATTTGGCTTGTACCAACATTGGTGGTTAAAGTGATGTGTTGGCCTGGAGTCCTACAGAGGCGGGCGGTGTGCCCCTTCTTGTTGCATTTGATGCAATGCAACACTCTGCAGACTCCCTAATGATGGTAGTAGCACTTGCTGCATTGTGGGAGATTTCCATAGTATGGTGTTGTCAGTGTCGAGGTAGTATGACCAGTAGGGGTAGGGGCTGCTACTGCTTGTTGCTTTTTGGTAGGCCCTTGAGTCGAACTGCCCCCTTTCTCGTTCCTGAACTTTCGTTTCATGTTCTTAGGTTTGTGGGTTGGGGTATCCTTGTAGGTAGGCACTCGTTGGTTTCCTTGGTTATCACTGCGTTTGGGATTGATGACACAATCTCCATTCTCACTAGCGTTATTTGCATTGAGATGCGCCATGACGGCTGACACGGCGGCTGTGACCGCAGCTTGAAAAGTAGCGGAGTCTATCTGCTGAAATGGCGTTTCACCGGTTGGCTGGTTACTTCCTTTTGGAGGCATGGTTAGTTGCATGGCGAGAAACAAGCTCGTAAGTAACTATGGTTGTTGCTAGTTGTATTTTATCTCTTTATATATGCATATAAATTTCTCGTTTTGTTATACGATTCTCAATGTTTCGACTTACATTCCTATGATGTCTTTAATGTAGAGAGTAGAAATAGGTATTGTACAAATGCTAAGTTTTCTCGTCCTAGTACTACTCTCGCCCAAGTACGCTTAACTGCAGAGTTCTGATGGGATCCGGTGCATTAGTGCTGGTATGATCGCACCCCATAAGTCTACGAGAAGGCATCTTTCTACCCTAAGGTTTAAAAGAATGATACAGTGGTAAGTCTTTAGTAGTGGTTATAAGTTGTGTATCTATTGAACTATGTTATCTTGGTTCTGTGCGTATTGTGTTCTGGCTTTTATAGATTTTTGTGATCAATTCATAACAGAGGTCTATGAAAAAATAAACTTATGAATTTTTAATAGTTACCACCTTTATACGGAATTCTATGGCTTGGTGTACTAGTATTTGTTGTTACGAAAGAAGTGATAAGCCTAACACATAGTGTGAGTAGTATATTCACTAACTCACTAGTTATATTCGTTTATAAGTTATTAGCGTGACTCATAAAGAGTTCGGCCTCCTCACATAATTCGTGAATAG